ATATGCCGGTAGTTTTGTTTGGTTGGTTTTTTAAGCCTCAGGGTTATCACACCACTTAAACAAATGACCCAGTTCAAGCCTCTCAGAATATTGTTAGAGATTCCCTGGTGGCCTAAGAAGGTTGCATTGCATTACAGTTGGTTAACATTTCAAAATAACCTTGACAACTGTGAGAGCACAAGGCCTCCCTAGTAAAATGAAATCGCAGATTATGTGGGCCGCCAGCAGCTGTTTATGCCTTCTGCCTTACTTAAACACTACCGTATGGTATCTACTTTGTAGATACACATGGAAAAAGGTTGCTATTTTAAAGAAATTGCAGTCTAGCTAGAACACATGGTTTGGGGGCAGATGTTGGGATGTAGTTAAAAATTATATATGCCAATAATAAAATTTTGAATGTGTAGTAACAGCAACTGTGGTTTTTACAGTTGTCTTTTGCACTTGCATCTCCCAGCCAAGACGCAGATAAAGTTAATAGGCCTGCTGACACATCCACAATCCTCCATGATAGAGTGAGTGTTCCGTAACCAATGGAGTAGCAGCTTCTGGAGGAGTAAATAATAACTTTCTTAACTGCAAATTGCTAATGTGCAGGCAAAAGTTGCCTCTAGTTTTATTTAAGGCTTTATTAAGAGGGTGTTTAGAACAGATTAATTACATTGCGTTGCATTAGTGTAGTCACCTCCCAATTTATCATCATTTAGACAAATACAAAAATAGCTGTGGAAATATATAAAAATAACAAATTTCAGCCTGTAAGAACAAATTGTGCCTTGAATTACTGTTCCTCCACACATAAATATAAATGACTGACACATCTCTCACGGGATTTTGCCAAGTTCAGCCTGATCTGAAATAAAGTATAGAATCTGATATGAAGGGAAATACAGTTAATGGGATTTTTGGCACTGAGAGGCAGAAAGGGAACAGGATCCTGGGAGTGTGTGAAGCAGAGCTGGTTGTTAAGAACTGCATATAGAAGATATATCATAGTCCAGGCACTTTAATATTACTCTTTTGGTATTTATATACTTGGAAGGTCTATTTAGAAACAGTGAACCCTTGCTTCACTTTCAGTGAATGATGATCTAAGAATATTTCAGAACGAATGTCAGTGTTTCCTCTTGAAAGCTGATGATGAGAATGCTTTAAAAGCCTTAGGAAGCATGTATGTAATTTCTCTTGAACTTTGTTGCATCTAAGGCCAAAAGGGAGAATGGGGTAGAGATCTTCAGAGGGACTTGGACCATCAGATCAAATCATGATCCCAAAATCTAAGAGCTTACTTCTCTCTTGTAGGGGAAAAACCCTTTCTGTGTGAGGCGCAGGGATGTGGTCGCTCCTTTGCTGAATACTCCAGCCTTCGGAAACATTTGGTTGTCCACTCAGGTAAGAGTCTTCACCTGACATTCTGTGACCTATCTGAGAAAAGATCTGTGTTGTAGGACTTTGATTTGATTTCCTTAATTAAAATCCCCTGGTTTCTACAGGACTTCTGGTCATTGTGTTTCACAGCTTCCTTTGTGGTGCCTTTAGCCTATACACTTTAATCTTTTCTGTTGTTTCTGTTTCTAAATTTTATGTTTCTAAATTCAGATTACATTTTTTAAATTTATTTTTTAAATTGTTTCTAAAATGTCACAAAGTTGGATATCTGTTTCATAGCTGCCATTTTCTTATTTAAAAGAGTGAATCTAGCACCTCTATATATTAATCAAAGCCATTCAAATCTGAAATCTCTCATGAGTGGGTTTCTGCCATAGGTAGGGTTTTCCTTTATTTTTTAATACTACATACTTGTAATTGGACAAAGCATTAGATGGAAATGTATTTCACAAGTGTTTCAAAGCTTCTGCCTTCTGTTTTGATTGATCTATCTTAAATATCATCAGCATGTAATGAATATGGCTTTTTTGGAGAAGGGGAGATTTTATTGGGGTAGTAACTTTTGGGATTACCTGATTTCTCCACGCATTTTCTTTCTGTCTCCTTGGCTTCCATGCTATTGAGCTCACACGTATGGACATCATACTTGTTGTATTGTGAAAATGATAGACTGCTCTGTAAAATGGAAATCCTTTCACAGTGACAAGTCATCATCCAGTCTCTACTCAGTAATGTAAACCAGATGCTGCAATTTGTTGTGTGATAGCAGGAGATAGCTTCCTTGCTTCTGCTTCCTTGCTTTTGGTCATTTTATTCTAGGTATGGGACATCAAATATTTCCATGTCACTGAGTAAGACATTCCAAATAACTTGTTCCCTCTCATAAATCAGACTTTAAGACTTTATGTTACTCTTCAGACTTGAGATTTGCAACAGCTGGCAATACTGATACCTAAAACTCTTCTGTTGTGGAAGGTTATTGCTCTCCAGGAAACAGGAATATTTCTCATTTGTTTTTTTTTTTTTTCCACTGATAATTAGCACCAGTGGTGTCAACAGCCATTTCAAACCAGTATTACTGGCTTCTTGGTTGATGAGGTCTTTATTCCCAATTTGGTAATTCTTGGGATATTTTTTCCCCCTTCTACTGCAAGGAGTGAAGCCCCATCAGTGCCAAATTTGTGGGAAGACATTTTCCCAGAGTGGTAGCAGAAATGTGCATATGAGGAAACACCACTCCCGAATTGGAACAGCTGGCAGCAGAGACCGAGAACAGCCAGGTAAGGAACGGAGGGCACTCTCTGGGGGGGAGAAGTGCAGGAAAGAGTTAGTGGATGGTCAAAGAGAAGGGAAGATGTTTGTCCTGAAAATATAAGACCACAAGCCAGTAAGGAATAAAACTGTTCCTCTTGGAGATGAAGATGGATTGCTCACCCTCCCCTTTTCTAGGATAGAAAACAAAGGTGTATTTCTGTATTGTGGTCAAGGGGCAGATAGGTTTATTATTTTCAAAATTGGCGTGAATCTCGTATCTTTTTTTCACATGGAATTTGTGCCCTTTGTTATGTATTCTTGTTGTAAGAAGCCCGTTTTTTTATGCAATGTGAATTATTTAAAGAGAAAGCCAAGCCTGCATGAGATCCTGCCATACTAAGGCTCAAAACAATAAAGACAGGAGTTAGCATCATTGGAGCACTGGATGCCCAAAGAGTAGGAAGGGGTAAAGTAGGTGTCTGGGGAAGAAGCCTGTGTGACTTGGAGGTGGGCAGGGATTGTATCGTATATTGCAGTTTCATTACATCATGAGAATTTTGTGTTTTGTGTTTTTTTTCCCAATAGAGTCACTGATGGGCAGCAGTTTGCTGGAAGAATCTACAGTGCATAGCAAGAATCTCATCTCCATGAACTCTCAGCCCAGCCTTGGTGTTGAGTCTCTGCACCTGCCAGACACCGAGTCTATTATTGGAGTAGAGGAGGGTGAGACCAGCTGCTCTTTTTTTCGCCCTCTTATATGTGGTGACTGAAGCGGGATCGATCATTCCTCCTAGAGGCTGACAGTGTTGCAGTGGGATGAGTGAACATTGCTTTAACTGTGCACAGAGCAGGTGGGTAGATGGAGAATGAATCGTAAAACTGGAGCTGGAGAAGACCTACTGGACCAAGTTTCTCTCTTGCAGAGCTTAAAAGGTGAAGTCTGCTGCTTAGGTGTCATTTAGCCCATGTCGTGGAACGCCATTTCCAAACTCTTTATGCAGTCCATTCTCCTAAAGCCTAATGCGTTTGTTTTGCTGGAGCACCTAGGAGCCCAGTTCAGGACCAGGACCTCATTGTGCTAGGCACTGTACAAACATCCAGTATCTTGAGCAACAGGCCCTCCTTCCATCCTTTACCTTCAGAGACTATATTCTAATACATCTCACTGTCAGAAGCTGACTTACTATCTGAAATAAATGTACTACTTGATATCATTTAATTACCTTTGCTGTGTTCTTTTCCTGCTTTCCCCAGTCACTTTTTCCTCCAAAATTTGCTTGGCACATCGGGCTCTTTAAATGAGTCTACCATGTAGATGTTTTGAATTTTTGTTAACTTAAGAGTTTCTTCAGAATTGGGATTATTAAGAATGCAGACTTCTGCTAAGATACTACGTGTCTATAACAGCTCCTATGCGAAGAGAATGCTTTTAGTTTATATTGCTCCCTAGCTGAACGTAAAGGTAGTGCTGCTGTCATTAAAGGTACTGTAATTTGGAGGTTCTTGCAGAAGCTCCACCAGGTACACATTTTTCTATGTCAGCTAAACAGGCTGTAATTCTTATAACTAAAAATAATAAAATGTTTTCATAAAATGCAAAAATCCAGAGCAAAAGTGGAAATTCTTTATTTCCATACCATTTTTGAGATATATTAAGAGATTACGAATCTCTTTTAGGATTACAGAAATGTAATCCTACTTTCAGAACAACACTTTGTTTAGCAAGAAAGGTGCTAAGTGACTTTCAGTTACTTAGTTTGATCTTTTTACTTTCATCACCATTTCAGCAATTTCTGTGTAGGGATGGATATTAAGACTTGGATTTATCTGTGACTGTATTCATGCATGTCACCTTAATATTTGTTAAAGGGATATGTCACAGTATCATATATTAATTTAAAGTCAAGCCTTTGTTCCTCCTTTCTTAAGGTTTTCCTTTACACTTCACATACTTGGAAATTTCTTTTTCCAGCATCATCAAGTATTATTATGGAAAGTAGCAAACAGTTTTAGTAAATACCCCTTAAAATGTAGGTATTAAAATTTCCCTCCCACTGCTCCGGATATATCCGCACAAGCCCAATGGGCTTCAGACCACAGACTTGAACCACGGAAGAAATTTTCTTTCCTTCCTCTTTCAATGTGACAAGACACGGAGACAATATGATTACATCCCTGCTCTTTTCCAGGGGATACAGGAGAAAGAACAGCCTTTGTGTGTCCTACACAATTGAACGTATGTAGAAACTGGTACACTGATAACAGCCTTCCTTGAATCCTCCCAGGTGCTTAAGCCTCTTCTCGGTGTGGAAAGCCCCTACAGTGAAGGAAGTGTTTCCAACCCGTTGGGAATTTCTCTAGCGAAAGGCTGCATTTCGATCTGTGACACAGCACTCAGCAGATGCATTGTGTAGAAAGCTCTTCAGCTGGAAAAGGAGGAAAAAAGGGAAAAGCCTAAACTTAGATTTGTCGGAGATTCTTTGGGTCAGTGAGGAGGACTGCTGCAACCCAATGCATTCAGCTATGTATCAGCATGAACTGGTCTCTGTGGCAGTGTAACATAGCAGCCTGAAACCCCGGGACCATAAATTCTTAGATCTAGTACTTAGTTATGAGCAAAAATGCCATGATGTCGGTTTTATATCTTTATCTAATGTGGCAGCTCTTACAGATACTGTATTTCCGAGTTGATGATGAGGTTTTGTTGTTACAGTGTAAGGAGATATGGATTGAGGTAACAGGTGAAAAGAGACACAGCTTCCATTTAAAAAGTGAGGAAAAGATGATTGATAAAGAAATTGGACAATGCAGAAACACTGATAGCCATTTAAAAATGTTTTAATCTCAGAGTGCTTTGATATCATAATTCGCAGAAAACATTCCAGGTGGTAAGGGTTTGTATTTTTGAGATCGTTATTACTGCCAGGTAAAGGAAGACCACTAATGGGTGAACTATAAACCATTTAAGATGCCCCAGGCATTTGAGTGCAACATGCTGACAGGTAATACCTAATCTTTCTTCCACCAAAGTCCATTTTTTATATCACAGTAATTGTAGAATTAGGACAACAGCAATCCAAAGTCATGCATTGTTTAATTACAACCTTCTTCATCATTTTGGTTGTTTTTCAGGCCAAATTAGTGACCTAAATTGGTAAGATGTTAAAACCGTTTCAAATAACGAAGTATGGGAGATATTTTATTATAGAAAGACTATTGCTTCTTCCTAATGGGAGGAAGGAGCAGAGCTGGGAATGAGCAAATGAGGAGTTAACACCAGAGAAGGACTTCCCTCTGAGTCTTCTCCCAAGGTAGGTCAAATCCTGCAATTTTTTTTTTTTTTTTTTAGAAATACCTTGTTTAAAAGCATTCTACCACATACATGTGTAAACTAAGGTTTAGCGCACTGAAAGGCATTCTCCCCTTCCTGTGTGCTTCTGTGGCATGAACACAAGGAGCTGACACTAGAGGATGTACCTCTTCAATCTTTCATATCTACTTTTATCCAAAGACAGTGCTTCAATCTTTTTAACTTGTTTTGTTGGCCATTAACAAAAGAGAAATGGCTCACACAGGGAACATTTGTGAAGACTGAGGAAGGCTGCAGGGTTTGCTGGGTTGGACAAGACATGCTCTAAACAACAGTTGGCCTTTTTTTCCTTTACTAAGTTCTCAGATCTCACTTACCCCAGAGCAATTCTTAGGTGTCAGCCTAAAACAGAAAGTTCTTGAGGATTAACCTGGAGAATCTTGAATTAAAAAAAATCAAGAGATGATCGATGGATTCTTCTGCTAGATCTCATCTTGCCGTTTCCTTTCCGCTCTGTTCCTCGTGAGGTTCTCCTTCCTGTACAGTACCATCGTCCTTTTCACCCTGAGGCTTGGGCACTCTGCAGAAACAGTGATTGTCTAATACCGGAAATGCTTTGCAGTGCTCACTCGCTGCTTTGCCCCATGCATAAGAAACAGAGTGCAGTCACAGGAGTTAAGATAGAGAAGCCACGATGCTTAATAAGAGGAGGCAGGAGGAGTTAATTTTGCCTGCACTAGATGATACAAACTGGAACGCTTTCATGAACAAGGAAAATATTTCTACTCAAAGGCAAAAGAGCTGTATTGCATTGTTTTTATTACCTGTGAATGTCAGATTCTTCTTCCAGCAAGTCAGTGGCATCTTTCCCTTTTTTCCTTACAAATTCTTCGCTTAGCCCAACCTGCTGGAGGGTGTGTCGGTAGCGACGCTCCGCTCCTTGACGAGCATCATGCTATGAAATCGAAACTTAACAGTAAGCACGTAGAACTGGGGCTTCCCCATAATGGTCAAGTTGTTTTAAAGTTCGTGGCTGACACTCCTAATGAGAACAAGAGGACAGCAAAGCCCCCGTCTAGAATTTTGTCATCCATACAGTACAGTACCAAAACTGAACGCTAGGAGAATGCCTCACATCTCTCAAAGCCAGAGCTCGCCTTTTCCTGCTTCTGTTCTTTTTTTCTTTCTTCTTCTGTTCTCCTGCTTCTACAGCATTCCAGTCTTACCAGAATCTTACCAATCTTACCAGACACAATACTTGTGTCTGAGTCATGACTCTGACACTCAGATTGAGAATACATGCGAAAAGGGATTGTGAGAAATTCTGGAAGCCCGGCTGCTTGTAATTTGTAAGCAGTAATCACAGTGGAGTTCAATAAACAGAGAGCACCTGTGAAATAGCTTCATATCAGCTCATCTTCAAGAAACTGAAAACCAAGCATCCTGGGTCCTATATCCCCACTGCCTCCAAATAAACCTTGCAAATTAATGTAGTCTGAGATGACTGTTCTCCAGAGGGGCTGGCCAGTTCCTAAAGATTCAGGTGTTCTGTGTGGAAGGATAGAAATCTAGTCTCCACACGAGTGAATTCTATCAATATTGCAGAATTCTTACCAACCTGGCTACTGGTTACCAATATTCATCATACAAATGTGTTCTCTGCCTCAATTAACCACTCATCTGAATAGAAAGTCTGACCCAGGAGGGTACTTTCTATTGAGAAATCTTAAATCAGCATGTTGTCAATGTGTTGTCACTATGTCTCTAACCAGATATCCTCCCTGCAAGGAAACAGAACTGATAGAGAAAACCCAGGGAAAAAGATCCTTTGTAGAGAGTAAAGATTATATCTACACCTCAAGTGCAATATAGATTTGCAGATGGTACTATGTGATGGATGAAGTGTGCTGAACACAACCCCAGATAGCAGAGCTTGCAGGTGATATAAGCAACGTAACTGTCAGTAATGTTTTTCCAGTAGCACTAGAGGTAAAAAGAAAAAGTGCTCAGCTGGAGAGGGTTTTAAGAAAAAAAGTTTAAAATTTCTAGACTGTAGGCTGTGGTATTCAGGCGCAGAATAGGTATTCATATAATTTCTCATGTGATAAGCCCTTAATTTTGATCAGACCATATATTTTGATTGCAATATATACTAGGGACTGGAAAGCTTTACAACCAAGAAATAAGTCTGAGTGTTTTTTCAAGTGGTGGGAAGGAACTGAAATTATACTTGGGTGGCCTTCCAGGTGTTATTTGGAGTGTAGTCAAGAGACTATGCAATCATTTGCACCTTCTTACCCGTGAATTAACTTAAAACTAGATTTCTTAATGCCTGTCTTAAATGAAAGACAATGTATCCTGTCACCCAGAAACGCTCTGGAACTTTGACCAGTTACCTTGGTGACCTGTTCAAAGAGGTATGGTCTGTTCTTGACTCGCAGCTGCATTTCTTCCAGCTCCTTTCTGTATTCTTTTGTTCTCTCTCTCATATTTTGCCTGAAATAATAGAAAAGTTCCCTAATACAGGTTCCTTCTGACTGTAGCTGATCAGGAACGAGGAATTCTCAATAACTGTTTTGTCCTTTAATTAGCTCTGGTAATTGTCTTGATTCTGAATGCTGGGCAAAACACTGCTATTGCTGGCAAGTTATAGACCCATTAGCAAAGCTTTACTACTAGAGTGTAGGCAGAGAACCAGTGTTCACATTTTTAGAAAGCCATATGTATGCTTTACCAAATTATACATTTCAGTTGGCTTGTTTGTACAAATTAGTTTCTACAAATGTTAATCTAAAGGAAACTGTTCTGTATGGAAAGAGAGGTATGGAATTGTCAAGAAATCCAAACAATGACAGCCAAAAAAGTTAGGCTAGGAATGTTCTTAAACCCAACTCCTCCTAGAGATATAGCTGATGATCCCCAGTTGGTAGAGCAAATGGTTATTTCTGTGCAGAATAGGATACTGACCAGTTCTGTTTTGACTTCTCCTTGTGTGTTTCCTCCAGACTTTTATGCAGATCCAGGGCTTTTGCTCGGCTATTCACTGACTTCTGGATAGCTTGACATTTCTTTTTCTGTTTCTCCAGCCAATAAATTCCTTCTTTGTCCCATTCCTTTTTGTTATCTTGGGAGTATCTATATGGAAAAAATTTATTAATGAGCTCACTTAAGACTGCTAGACTACATGCTAGCGGGGAATTTCACTTTTGTAGTCCTCTAAGGAGAAAAGCAAAATTTCAGACATAGGAGTGTGCAGCTCACAAATCAGCTGGGAGGCAGGGCAAGAATTAGCAAAGAAAGAAGACAGAGAAACATTTAAGAAAAGTATTGTTGATGTGATGAGGGAAAACATTGACTTTTTTCCCTCCATTTTGGTCATTAGTTGGTGTATGGTCTTGCAGACAAACTTCTACTTACCTAATCGCAGATTCCCTTTTTCTAGTTGCATCTGTAATATGCACTGGAAGGGTGTTGGAAGAGAGAGAGGAAAGTCTGGTCAGAGAATGACTTTTGTGCACTGAAACCTTGGAAAGTTGCTGAGAATCCTGAAAAAAATGGAATTTAATTCAGTGTACTTGTTGACAGTACAGAATCTCCTCTGTTCTTTGTCTACCAAAGAGAACAGTTAAGAGTATGTGGGCAATGCACTCATTCTTCTCTCTTCCATCAGTAGGGATCAACGTGGGGAGGGGCTGAGGGATGAGGGGAAGGAGATGTGATTAGGAGTATGGAAGGGTGGCTGAGCCTTAGCTGTCACAGCTCATCTCTTTGTGTAGAATTTTGTCCTCTGGTTTGTCCTAGAATTCTGCAGTAGTCCCAAGACAAGGGCAGAGGTCACAGGACATTAACCATCCGTAAATAAATGCTATAAATTTAAGAAGTTGCTATCTTGATCGGAGAAAGCAGTACAACAGAAATATCCAGTCATCTCACCTTTATCTTTTCATTTGCCTGCCTCTGCCTGCCACGGAGATTGGAGGTTCTTAGCTTGAATGGTTTATTACGTGTTGCCTCTTTGATTTCTTGTCTCCTTACTGCTTCCCTCTGAAATGCCCAGTAAAGTCCTTCAAAATCGGGTATTGTTGGATTAATCCTTGGCTTGAAGCTGAAACTTGTATCCTGCAAGAAGCCAAGTCTCTCCTGCTTAGTTTTAGTGGCAGTTCGGGACTGAGGCTCCCTCCGACAGTTGCTGGTATCTATAAGAGCTACGGAGCTCTCAAGCAAATCCTTGGCTCTCATTTGAATGCGGATTTCTCTGTAGAGTTCAGCTTCTAATGAATCAAAAGCAAAGCAATGAGAAGAATATGAGTGACAAAAAAGGCTGTGAAATTGCCACTGCACAACTCTCAACTTTTCTTTATGATGGCAGCTACACGTATAGGAGAGACCAGACATCCTGTGTTCTCTTTCCCCACTTTCCAGCCTCTCTCTCCTCTGCCTCCCAGGACAAAAAAATCAAAGATACCAGAAAAAAACCATGGTGGAGTCTCTTTCTTAGGCATTAATCTCTAGATATCTCATTCACTTATCAGAGTGAGTTACTGAATGGGCCTTCTCCTCCTACTCCTGTTCTTAGGGGTACCAGATAACTTGTGCCCTTTGACTTGCACACGTGTTGTGTTAATCAAGGTTCTACTTTTCACATGGGACTTTATGTCATTATGTTGACTGTGTGATCCAAACAGGCTGTTCAAATATACTTGTAACGGATGATGGCTTTTCTATGTAACATCTAGCAATGTTTGTCTATATTGAAAAAGATTTTAAGTAAGAAGCATTTGGTGGATGGATCATGTCTTGTGACTTCTGTGACAAACTTTCCATAGAAAGGATGTGTTTCAGGGTATAGGGTCAAACTGAGTCCTTTCCTGTGCAGCACTAAGTATTTGAGAAAATGCAGACAAACAGTTGGCTATGGTTTGGTTTTGTTTTGGGTTTTTTTGCTTTTAGAAAAAAAATCAATACTGCTGTTTGCAAAATAAGACTTTGAGTTTATTTATAAGTTTGCATTGACTGAGGTATGAAATGTTCATTCCTCCTCCCTTCTCATATACCAGCTAGAAACAGAACAATGGCTTGTCCTTTGCTGTCTTTTACCTTTCTAATCTATTTAGTTTAGTACACCAAAACAGAATGTTTTCTGATGAAAACTGAACTGGTGTATACTCAAGAAGAAATCAGTGGGAAACAGTAAAAAAAGAGAAAGGGGTGATAAAAGCAATGAGTATTATCAAGGACTGGCTTAATTCCTGTATTCAAGCATGAAGTCTGTCTTGCTTACTTCAAACTTAGAACTGTGGGGGCTTAAGCCATCTGAAAGAAAGCGAACATCAGAAAAAAATTTCCTTGGCTGTCCCTCTGACTAGAATGGTCCTGGCACCTACCTCCCCTGTTTTAGCACTTAATAAGAAGGTGGAGAGTGAGTGGGAAGGTAACTGAAAACATCAGAGAACGGCAGGAGAGACTGGACCACTGCACTGTCACTTAGAACCAAACGAATTGCCTGATTTGGGCTCAGGAAGTATTTTTCTCCTAGGGGTCCTGTGCAGCACATATCACTTGGGTGGGAGTAAAATTATCAGTTCCAAGATACTGCATGGACCTTGGACACTTCTGGCACTACATCTGCCTTCACGTTTGTGCCACAACTCATTTCAGTCCCTTTAGCATAACCAAAGGTATGGAATCCAGTGCAGGGAAGGATTCCCAAACTGTGATGGTCCGCAGCAAAAGGGGTATGGAAATCTGTCTGAAGAGCTCAGTGTACCCACGTGTGCTGGGGAGTGGTACAGAACTACTGCTGCTGACACTGATACAAGACTACCAAATTTAGGACACTCTACTGTAAGGGAATCTAGATGAAATGTAATGACCAGTGATACCCAGGAGACTAGACAACACCAGGGGATGTAACGGTATTGGCTTTATGCCCCAAGTAATGCCCTATGGGCCACGATCCTACTTCCCAGCATGGAGACAGCACAGGACAGGCAGAGAGTTGTTTTTACAGGAAGAGCCCTGGCATTTTACCTTTGAGTTTATCTCCAAGAAGTGGATCGTAAGTAGATTTAGGAATTGTTTTACTGGCTTGCTTCTGTTTGGAGCTCTCCTTTGGGGTTGCTGCTGCCAGGAACTTTTGTCTGATAGCTTCTTTCTTTTTCTCCTCCTTCTCCAGGAAACTGAAGGGCCGCTGGGTTGAAAGTAGCAGCTCCTTTCTTTTCTGTGTTGCTGTTTGCCTGCGAAGCTCATTCTGCTCCATTATTTCCTGATAAAGGGGCAGAAACACATGGGCAGGTACAGGCTGTGCCCGGAATTGTTTCTGACATTCAGCTTCGTCCTGGCTTTGCCTTTTGTCTCTCTGTTTGTCTAGTTCAAGAAACATGTATGACTTCATCAACTGGGACTTTTTGCGAGCTTCCCGCAGTGTCATTTCGAAGGGCTGAGGGATGGTGATGGAAGGAATCCAGGGAGATGAAGCACTTTTTGGCCTCAAGTGGGATTTAGGAAACAAGTGAGGCTTTTGCTGATCCCAGGTACTGTCTGAGGTGAGGTCGATCAAAGAACTGGACTGCCTTTTGTTACCAGATGTATGACTAAGACAAAGACATTATGAAGGGGAAATAAGAGAAATTATTAAAAAATAGAATTAAAAGAAGGGCGACACTGTTGATTAAGAGAAAGACACCAAAGGCTGAGCTGGTCATTAAAAGACAGGCCTAGGGGTTATCATTCTCGGGCTCTACATTTTGCTTTACTACCAAAGTTCATGAGCAGAGCTTTGCTGCTTTTCCATTTTCCATGCATAACATGGCGGTTATGCCTTTTTAGCTTTGTAATGCAATTTATTACGCTGCTAGTAGTCTATTGCCAGCAAGGCCACACAGAAACCAGAAAGTTCCAACTTTAGGGTTATCTGGCTGATAGCTACTCAAGATAACAGACAAACTCAGGAGAGGCAATAAATTAAGCACACAGATGCACAAATCCTAACAAACAGTACCAAACACCAGAATTCATAAGAGGCTGATGGAAGGGCCATTGCAAGGAACTGCTTTAGTGCAACACCTAAGAGCTTCAGCTGGAAACTTTGTAGCTGATAAGAAGACCATATAATTGATAACAAGAAAAAAACCCAAGACTATCATGGGTCTCATTGAAATAGCAAACTTCTCATGGGATGTTTGAGGGTGATTGTGAAACTGAGTAAAACTTACGAGATATTTAGGAAAGAAATAAATGCAGGTAAAAGGAAGGATCAGGGTGGATCAGGGTGGACCAAGAACAGGAAAATGGGAAAAGGGGGTGAAACAGAAGGTGCTGATCATGTGTAAACACGCTCCTGGTCAATACACTTGCCTGGTGATTGCTGCAATCTGTTCTTCAGAAACTGTTTCCTTTGTAAGAGCGTGTGTGCGTGTGATCTGCTAGTGAACTTTGAGCTGGAGTAACCACAGAGAAAGATAAGAGGTCTGAGAGCTAGACGTTGGAGACACCACAGCTCTGAAGACGGGACGCTAGATAGAAATGCGCGTCATCTGCTAGCAAATTTAAGTGTGATTAGCTGACGAGCAGG